GTTAGCTGCTATGTGGGTGCTGGGATTCAAACCTGGGTCTTCTGCAAGAACAACCAGTGTTCTTAACTGCTGAGCCATCTCTCCAGTCCCTAAAATATTTTTTTTTTTAAATAAACCTTTTAACCTGGCTAGGTAGGGTAGCCCACACATATGGTCCCAACAAGAACCTGAGGTGAGAGGACCACTTGTGCCTAGTAGTTGAACCAGCATTAGTAACAGAACAAGAGTCTATACTCAAAGAAAGGAGGGATGGAGTAAATTTTTATTTATTTATTTTTTTTCTTTTTGAGACAGGGTTTCCCTGTAGCCCCTGCTGGCCTAGAACTCACTATGTAGGCCAGGAGGCCTTGAATTCACAGAGATCCACCTGCCTCTGCCTCCGGAGTGCTGGAATTAAGTAAGTCACCACTGCCACACCTGGCTTTCATAAGCTTTCCTTTTCATAAAAAAAAAAAAAATTTTATTATTTTTATTTTATGTGTATGTGTGTATTGCCTGCATGTAGGTTAAGTGCACCCATGTCGTGCAATGCCAGTGGAGGTCAGAAGAGGCTTCATTCTCATCATCATGGACCCTGCATGAGGCATGGGATGTATCTGTTAGCAAATTTACTAGTAGAATCTTTTCTATACCAGGCCATATACCATTAATATTTTTCAAGTAGGAGACCCTTTCTAAAATTTCTTTCATGCATTAGGCCTCTTTAGACTTTTAAGAGTTTTTAATCACCCTCTTTGCCCTCTAAGCCCCCCCAAAATCTGAGGTCAGAAGAGGCTGTCAGACCCCTGGGACTGGAGTTACAGACTGTTGTTAGCTGCTATGTGGATGCTGGGATTCGAACCTGAGTCTTCTGCAAGAAAAACCAGTGTTCTTAACCACTGAGCCATCTCTCCAGCCCCTGTAAACTTTTATTTTAATAAAATAGCTGAAATTTTAAATTTTTAACTCAGGTTTTGGGAGGCGGGGTTGGAGGGCAAAGAGGGTGAGGGGGAGCATCAGTGTACCATGAGGAGAATATGGAGGTCAAAGGACAACTTTCAGAAGTTGGTTCTCTCTTTCTGTATGTGGGTTCTGAGAACTGAACTTAGGTCATCAAGGTTGGCAACAAATGCCTTTACCTACTAAGCCATTTTGCTAGCCCCGGAATTAAATGACCAATAAGACAATTCCAAGATCTCATCAGCAACGTATAGTGCTTATAACTAGAAGTATCTCAAATAATGATAATCACTAGTGACTACTAGGAGTGATTACTTCTAGTCATGCCATGATAAATCTGTGTCTCAGACTTTTTCTTTTTTAAAGACTGAGTCTTACTATCTATGTGTCTAGTCTGCCATGTGTGTACAGGTGCCTTTGGAGTCCAAAAGGAGGTGTCAGATCTGGAGGTGAAGTTACAGGTGGTTGTGAGCCACCCACTGTGGGTACTAAGAACTAAACTTGGGCCCTCCAGAAGAACAGCAAGTACTCTTCTTGCTGTTCCCCAAAAGACTTTTCTTCTTTTTTTTTTGGACTTTTTGAGACAGTCTCTCTGTAGCCACAGCTGGTCTGGAACTTGCTATGGAGACCAGGCTGGTCTTGAACTCACAGAGATCTACCTGCCTCTGCCTCCCTTACTGGGATTAAAGGCATGTGCCACCATGCCCAGCCCAAAAGACATTTTTTAAGTAACAAAATTCTACCAAGCAAGGTAGCACAAAGGACTATCAAATACACTTAGCCACACACACAAAAAAGAAGTTTAAATACAAATAGATTCATTTCTAGTAACTCATCCTTGTGGAGGTTAGAGATAGTTTGAGGCTGAGCTAAATAAACTCCAAGTCACCTGAAACTGCAGGCATTTTCCTTATTTGGCACCAAGTTCTCGGTTTTTATCTGTTTCCTAACACTTCATCCTGGGATTCAAAACAAACATACTAGCTGGGCATGGTGGTTCACGCCTTTAATCCCAGTACTCAGCACTGGCAGAGAGTGGCAGATCTGGCAGATTTCTCAGTTCCAAGGCCAGCTTGGTCTACATAGCAAGCTTCAGGCCAGCCAGGGCTACATGAGACCCTGTCACAAAACAAAACAAAACAAAACAAAACAAAACAAAACAAAACAAAACAAAACAAAACAAAACAAAACAAAACAAAACAAAACAAAACAAAACAAAACAAAACAAAACAAAACAAAACAAAACAAAACAAAACAAAACAAAACAAAACAAAACAAAACAAAACAAAACAAAACAAAACAAAACAAAACAAAACAAAACAAAACAAAACAAAACAAAACAAAACAAAACAAAACAAAACAAAACAAAACAAAACAAAACAAAACAAAACAAAACAAAACAAAACAAAACAAAACAAAACAAAGCAAAACAAAACAAAACACTAAATCCCAATATTTGGGAAGCTGAGACAGGAGGATAACCATGAGTTAAAGGCCAGCATGAGCTATATGGCAAGTGCTAGCCCAGTCTGGGCTAGACCATGCCTCAAAAAACAAAACCAAAGAGAACAGATATACTGCCATCATTTTGTGAAAGCTCTTCCTTATAGTAACCTGACAGACAGGCTCCCAACTAATAGGAACAGAAAGAACTATCCACTGAAAATGCACTGTCTCTTGATGGGTTTCCCACCTGCACTGGAAGCTGTGATATACAAGCACCACTTTCAGGCTATCTCAGAGGAACATAAGCACAAGGACAGACTTTCCTTCACAACTGGTACCTCCTCCTTCTCTGAAGTTCAGCAGTAAAATGATTAAAAACTCTTAAAAGTCTAAAGAGGTCTAATACATGAAAGAAATTTTAGAAAGGGTCTCCTACTTGAAAAATATTAATAGTATATGGCCTGGTATAGAAAAGATTCTACTAGTAAATTTGCTAACTGATACATCCCATACCTCATGCAGGGTCCATGATGATGAGAATGAAGCAGAGGTCTATCATGTTACATTTGGTTATCTTAAAGATATGCTTCTAATGTTCACTTAAGTACACACCAGCTATCCTGACTTAGAACCAGCATGGCCACAGTGCCCTACACAGCCCTCCTTCCTCCTGCCACACCCCTGGCATTCAGGGCACCAGCATTTTACTCACTTCAACTCCTGGGAGCAGGTTTCCCACACACACTCTTTCACCAAGAGTTCTGTCAGCTCTGCAGCCAGGCCTTCGCTCAACTGAGTTAATACCAGCTCTTGCTTTAACCTAAGGGTAAGAAGAAAAAAAGCACAATGATAATGCTTAAGAATAAAAATAAGCCAGACATGGTGATGCACGCCTTTAAACCCAGCACTCAGGAGGCAGGGGAAGGTGGAACTCTGTAAGGTTGAGGCTAGCTTGGTCTACATAGGGAGTTCCAGGACAGCTGGGGCTACTGGGAGATCCTATCTCCAAAAGGAAAAAAAAAAAAAGCACATTATTTTACTCCTTGACTGCAAATGGGTGAGTAGTACTGCTTGAGTTAGTATGCCATACTAGTGACAGCCCGTTACTTTCTCTCGCTGGGAAAGACCCAATACCCACAAGGTAGGCATGGCAATGGGGACACCCCCTACTTTCACACACACACGCGTGCGTACACACACACACACACACACACACACACACACACACCACCTTTCTTTCTCTCTCTTAAGTCCAAGTATATGAGGATGCTGAGTGGGCCAACAGGGGTTAGAGGTCAAAGGTGGGCATCTGGGGCTAGGGCTGGTACACGCCAATCTCCATGCCCAGCTGCAAGGACAGAACACACCTACCTTTCCTCTTCAACCCGTCGCTTTTCCTCCTCTCTTCTCTGTCTTTCCATAGCTACTTCTTCAGCTACAACCTGTCTCAAAATGCCTGTGGTTGCAGCTGTTATCAGATCCTCCACAGCAGCATTAGAAACACTAGATAAATTAAAGCGGATAGCATTCAAACTCTGAAAAAAGTAAGCCCCCATACACTCTTGCCAAATGAAATCTTTTGTTCCTGTAATACAAGGACAGCTCAATATATGAAAACCAATCAAGGACCAACAAGATGGCTCAGCGGGAAAAGCACTTGCCATGCAAGCCTGGAAATCTGAGTACGATCCCCAGAACTCATGGTGGAAGGAGAGAACTGACTCGTGAAAATAGTCTTTTGACCTGCACACAAGTGCCATGGCACACATGTGCCTATGTATACCGACACACTCATACTCACTCTAATAATAATAAAAATTTTTTTTTTTTTTTAAAAAAAGAAGAAAGTTGGGGCTGAAGAGATGGCTCGGCGGTTAAGAAATTCTTGCAGAAGACCCAGGTTCGAATCCCAGCACCCACATAGCAACTAAGAACTGTGTGTAACTCCAGTTCTAGGGGATCCGACAGCCTGGAGGAGGAGGGGGAGGAAGAAGGGAAGATGGAGGAGGAGGGAGGGGGGAGGGGGGAGGAGGAGGAGGAGGAGGCGGCCTAGGCATGGTGGCACATGCCTTTAATCCCAGCACTCTGGAGGTAGAGGCAGGTGAATCTCTGAGTTTGCAGCCAACCAGGGCTACACAGAGACTTTGTCTCAAAAAATAAGTAAGAAGAAGCATCCCAATTAGGGAAGAAATAACTATACTATATTCAAAGATGATATGATCTTATATATAGAAAATCCTAAGATATAAAGCAACTTGAGTTAAGTTGAAGATAAAGATCAATCTGTAATAGGTTGGGGTTGAGTGCTTGCCTCATGTGCAAAGTTCTAGGATCAATTCCCAGCACCACCAAGTAAAATCAACATTATTTCCATATACAAGTAATAATCAATTTAAAATGAATAAACAAAGCAAAACAAAAACAGTACAAGGCCAGGACAGTGTAACGCCGGGCATGGGGGTACACCATAGCACTCAGGAGGCAGAGATAAGCAGATCTCTTGTGTGTTCAAGGCCAACCTAGTCTACATAGCAAGTTCCAGGCTAGTCAGGCTACATAGTGAGACTTTGTCTCAAAACAATAAGGGAATGGAGAGATGGCTCAGCGATTAAGAGCACTGAGTACTCTTGTAGAACAGGGTTCAATTCTCAGCACCCACATGGCAGCTAACAACCATCCATAACTCCAGTTTCAGGGGACTCCAACGCCCTCTTCTGACCTCCTCAGGTATTGTATGACATGGGTGGACTCACACATGCAGGCAATATACTCATACACAAAAAATAAAAATAATAAAAACAATTTAAAAATTGCAGTTGTAAGGCATAATAATTAGGAATAAATTTAACAAAGGAAGCAAAAAGACTTGTACAGTAAACCATAAAACATTGCTAAAAGAAATTAAGGATGATCTAAATTAACAAAAAGACAACTGGAACATTTACTAATATTAAGGGGACAATAAAAGGGTTAGGGAGATGGCTTAGCAGCTAATGCATGTACTGCTCTTCCAGAGGATGTTCCCAGCACCTATGTTGGGTGGCTCACAACCACCTGTATCTTCAGCTCCAAGGGATCCAATACCCTCTTTGTGGACCTCCATGAGCACCTGCACTCATGTGCACATATCCACAGGACACACACATATACACGTATTAAAAAGAAAATAAATCTTAAAGACGACAACAATATAGCCCACAGCAATCTCTATCAAAACCCCAAGAGCATTTCTGGAGAAACAGAACTCTTTAAAAACTCAAATGGTCTTTCTCAAGGGAACACAAGTAACAAAACAGTCTTAAAAATGAAAAAGCATTTAAAGACTGGTATGTTTTAATGTCAAAACTTATTAAAGCCAGGTGTGGTGGCATATACATTTAGCACTTGGGAGCAAGAGGCAGGCAATCTCTATGAGATAGAGGCCAGTGTGGCTTATATTGAGATTTAGGCCAGCTGGAGACCCTGTCTCAAAAGCCAGCCAAGGGGCTGGATAGATGGCACAGTCATTAAAAGTACTGGCTACTCTTGCAGAGGATTTGGCTTCAACCCCAAGTACCCATATGGCAGCTTACAACTGTCCATAACTCCAGTTTCAGGAGAATTCGACGCCCTCTTCTGACCTCCGCAGACTCTGCATGACGCAGGTACACTTATACACAGGCAGGCAATACACTACTCATACACATAAAAAATAAAAATAATTAAATATTTTTTTAAACCCAAACAAACAAACAAAAATGCACAACAGAGCTATATTAATCAAAGCAATATGGTACTAGCATGAGAAAAGACAAAGACCAGTAGAACAGAGTACAGAGTCCCAAAATAAACCCTTATATACTCAAATGACTTTCCACAAGGGTGCCAAGACCATTCACTCTTTTTAATGAACAGTGCAAGAAAGACCAGACATCTATACACAAAGGCATAAAGTTGGACCTTTACCTCATACCATATATAAAAAAAAATTTTTAAGTGAATAAAAGATCTAAATTTTAAATTTATATATATATAAAACTGTTAGAACATTTGAATACCTTCATGGCATTCAATTTGACAGTAAATTCTTAGGTAAGCCCCTAAAAGCACAGGCAACAAAAAAGAAAATTAGAAAAATTAGACTACCCCAAAATTTAAAATTGTTGTACATTAAAAGACATTAAGAGGTATAAAGATAGCCCAGGGGCTGGGGCTATAGTTCAGCTGGTAGAGTGTTTGTCTAGCAAGCACAAAGACCTGGGTTTGAGCCTTAGTACTACATATACCAGGCATGTTGGTGCATGCTTATAATCTCAGCACATGGGAGGTGAAGCATTTGCCACAAAGCAAGTTTAAGGCCAGCCTGGGCTACATGAGACTCTATCTCAAAAATCAGAAAAAATAGAAAAGAAGAAAAAAGTCAACCTAGAGAATAAGAGAAAATGCATGCAAATTCTGTATCTGATAAGAGACCATATGAAATATAAGAGAGCTCCTACAACTCAACCACAAACAGCCCATATCAAAACTCACAAACAGGGCTGGAGAGATTGCTTAGCTGTTAAAAGCACTGGCTGCTCTTGCAGAGGGCCCAGGTTCAATTCCCAGCACCCACGTGGAGGCTAACAACTGTTAACTCCAATTCCAAGGGACTCCAATACCCTCTCTGACTGTGGCATTGCATGACACAGGTATACTTACATACATACAGGCAAGAGACTCATACACATCACATAAAATATAAAACTAAGCCAGGCATGGTGGCGCACACCTTTAATCCCAGCACTTAGGAGGCAGAGGCAGGCGGATCTTTGTGAGTTCAAGGCCAGCCTAGTATACAGTGAGTTCCAGGACAGCTGGGGCTACAAGGGGACCCTAAGACAAAAAAATAAAAAAATAAAAAAAAATTTTTAATTGGCAAACTATTATCATTTCCAGTGAAATGATACAAATGAGCCATAAGCACGTGAAAAAAGACCAATATCATCAGTAATTAGAGAAATGCAAATCAAAACTGCAGTGAGATATCAACTCATAGCAAAAAAAAAAAAAAAAAAAGGGAGGAAAAGAAGAGGAAGGAAGGAAAGGACAAAAAAGATGCAAGAGGAGGTATAAAAAGAGGAAGACAAGGTGGAGGAGGATCAAGAATTCAAAGCTCAAGGGCTGGAGATGACTCAGTGGAGATGACTCTCTTGCAGGGGGACCCAAGTTCAGTTCTCAGCATCCAATTTAGGCAGCTCACAACAGCCTATAACTCCAGCTCCTAGAGATCAGATGCTGCCTTCTGCCTCTGCAGACACACAGCAGTCACATACACATACATAAATAAAAACAGAAGTAAATCTTTTTAAAAACCCAAAGTTTAAGCCAGGCATGGTGGCACACACCTTTAGTTCCAGTACTCCGGAGGCAGAGGCAGATGGATCTCTGTGAGATTGAGGCCAGCCTGGTCTACATAGCAAATTCCAAGACAGCCAGGGGTCCAAAGTGAGACCTCATCTTAAAAAAAACAAAAGGTGACGAGTGAAATGTCTGGCTCACAGGCAATGGAGATGGTGCAACATATAAAGCATCTGCCACACAAGCCTGACCTGAGTTTCATGTCCAGAATCCACAGTGGAGGGAGAGAACAAACTCTCTAAAGTTGTCCTGACCTCCACACATGTGTTGCATACCCATGCTCACATACATACAGGCAAATTTTTAAGAAAGGATTCACAAATGGAAATCACATTCTAATAAAAGGTCAGGAACTTAAACTATACCCGTCTAAAGAATAAAGTCAACATTTTGGCCTGAGGGAGCTGCAAAGCCCCCTAAAACTGAACTGTTGATTTTTTTTTTTTTTTTTTTTTTTTTTTGGGCTATTTTTTGAGACAGGGTCTCCCTGTAGCACCAGCTGGCTTAGAACTCGCTACTCACTGTGTAGACGAGACTGGCCTCAATCTCACAGAGATCTGCCTATCTCTGCCTCCTGAGTGCTAGAATTAAAAGCTTGTACCACTATATCTGGTTGTACTATGAATCTAACCACACAGAAATGAGTCTTGCTGATAAATGAGAACTTTATAAGGAGGGACAGGCATATACCCAGAGAGCACTGGACAGTCACAGAGCAAGGAAAGCTGGCATAGCAGGTGCCACTCACCACAGAGCTGCGGCTACATAGGCTGTCCCAGCAGTGCTGACTTCCTCACAGTCTGCTTGAAGAGCCTCCTGTATGAGCTCGTCTACCACTTGCATTAGGTCCTAAGGAAAGACCACAGGAATTGAAACAAGTATTCTACCAAGAGCAGAAATCTTGGGTGAGACACTTCTGAAAGTTTTTACTGGCAAAGCATAGGAACCCTAGTGCAGGGTCTACTTCAGTGCTTCAGGAAAAGTCTTTGAGGAACAGAAAGGTGTCTTCCAGGGGTCCTGGGGCGAGTCTGCCAGATGACTGCCTTGTAGGTGCTTCTAACAGCACCTTTATACATCATCTCTTGTCCACACCAAACGTTTCTCATTTCTATGACCTTTCTCCAGGCTTTCTCTAATGACTCCCTGATCCTTCAAGCAGGTTAGTGCCCAGCATGTGCCCAAGAAGCCAGGGAGACACAATCAAGCCCTTCACCTATGCTATGGACAGGCTCTGCTCAAAACCAAAGCTACCGATGATATATCTGTAAGTACATAACAGTGCTGTGGCCTCACAGGTCCTCATCAGTCCATCCATGGGTATCTTAAATGAGCAGGTACTGACTTCAAGCAGAACAGCCATTCAGGTTCAGCTTGGTATCATGATGGGAAGCATTCAAGTGCAACTGACTGCTATTATGAAATGGGGTCTCTACAGCTAACCAGAAAGCAGTTTGGGGCTTAGCTCGCCACCCAAGGCTTTGACCCTAGACAAGTCTTCTCTCCCTCACCACCCACTGACTCTGCCTGGCTACTACCCTGTGAGACCAGGCAACACAGCCCACCCCCCCAAGGTTTCTTGGAGTTTTGATCTGGAAGATCCCTACCACATCAGAGTACACAGGCACAGACTTTGTAGGTAGCAGCTCGGGCTGCATGGAAGGCTGGAAGAGGGTGGGTGCTACAGCTGTGGTCAGTGGTGGGACGTGAAGCACTGGTACAGATGAGAGTGTAGGAGGAGGCTGTGGAGAAAGAGTCAATGGTGGCACATCCAGCTCTGCCCCACACTCTTCTCTCCCACCACCTGGAAAGAAACACACAGGAAAACATAGTGCTGCAGATGCTTGGTAGCAGCACCACATGCACTACAATCTATGTAGGGATGGCAGACCCTAATGATTGACTTGCCCTCCTCACAATCATTGCAGGCCCCCTCCTGAGGGTGTATGGCATGGGATGATATATACTTTGTGTGCAAACAACATGGTAGTATCCCTGGCCCAAAGAAGGGCTTCACAATTCCTAAATCCAGGCAAAATGAGAAGACACTCGAGCATCAGGCAAACAGATAGACCTCTAAGCCCCAAAGACAGAGGCTTCTGGTGAAAGAAAGCCTTCCAAGAGGGAAAATGTGCTACAGCTTCACTCACCTGCTACGTCCACACCAGATCTCTGAGTGCTGATGGACAACTCTGTAGCCAGGCTCTCCCCGACGTACTTGTTCTGGGAGTTGAAGCTGCACACAGGGGTGTGGCGAGGGACAGGAGGCAGTGGTCCTCCATTCACAACTTCTCCAACTGACACCGTCAGCTTCCTGGCAATAAACACTGACTTCCTGGCCTTGCATAATCCCTCTGGTTCCAGGAATGCTGACCGATTCAACTCAACACAGCTACCACAAAGAACCCACAGATAGAGGTCAGCAGGGAAAGAAGACAGCTATCCCTCCTCAAGCCCAACTACTGGGGCCCCTTGTTAAAGCAAGTCTGGACACAGATGAGAAAAGAAAGGTGCTAATGCCTACTGCTTCCAGCCCTGGGGAACCACATGACCTAGGGCATTAACAGTCATGCTTGGAATGACATAAACCTGTGTGTTCTTCTCTCAAGGATTGCATCCCACTCAAAAACTATCCTATTTCCCTGAAGACAGGACTAGAAGGAAAAGCTGCAGATGGGTCGAGGAAACACCAACATAGGATGTCAGGTGTAATAGTGCTATCTGTTGGGAGATAGTCTGTGAGCTTCATCAGTCTCAAAACCCTGACTGCAAGTATAGAGCAGCCTGGCATGGACTACTGGTGCTTCCATCTCTGTCATCAGGTGTACAATGGCCAAACATGGGTGAACAAATGCAATCCTCAAAGAACAGACTGGAAAGGTCTTATATAACCTTTATCTTTAGGTTCTCTGGTAACTCATAAAAAGCACTGACTGGGAGTCAAAAAGAGCTTCGTTTGGACCCCAACGGTGTTTTGGGATTATTCCCTAGATGCACAGCAGGGAAGCAGCACATGATATAGGCCTTTTCCATGGCCCAGCAAACAGCCCTTTATCAAAATTTAAAAAGAAAAAGACAAAGAGAGAGAAGCCCACGTGCAGTCTCAGCTCTTACCCATCAGCAACAGTGAGGCCATGGTAATTGAGGAAGTCTGTGGCCTCTTCACAATCTCTGAACAACAGCATACGTACGACACCATCCAGAGGGAAGACAGTAGACCTTTGTGTGCTCACAGTGTATGCAACATTGAGTGCCCGGAGGGCATCCTTACGGATCTGAAAGAAGGTAAGTCAATGCAAGCTCAGAGAGAAGTCAGTTAAACCAAGACCACAGCCAGCCAGCTACACAGAGACATGAACTCCAGCTGTAGCTCAGTCCTGTAGAAGGCAGTCAGGCAATATGGACACAAAGCTTAGAGACAGCCAGATACCCAGGAATGAATACTAAGCAAACAGTACCCAAAAAAGGATGTGTCATTAACATTTCATCTATAACTATGAAACATCCAATAATAAAAGAGCATGACAACAAACTCCATCCACTGAATTTTCAAAAGCTTCTGAGGAACTGAAACTATAGATGTTACGGAATGCTAGAGAAAATGCCTAACATAAAATTAAATATATCAGTGGGAGACAAAAACCATTTTATTGTACTATAACAAACACATAAAAAAGACAACAGATGAAAATCCTAACAAAAAGTTGTTTAGGTTCTGGGCCTCTCTCTAGGTGCTTGTCTTCTCCCAGTGCTCATTAACTGCTCCAACGATGGGAACAAAACCAACAAAACCCTTATCTCCACATAGCTGACACGCTAGAGAAGAGACCAGAGATACAGACGGTGAGTATATAAAGTGTGTTTAATGGTAATTCAATACAAGAGAAGGGCAGTAGGGAGGAACATGAGCACTGACAGAGTGGTAAGGGTGGGTTGTACTGAGAAGGCAGTAGCCAAGCTTAGATTGGGAGAGGATAGGAAGACATCGCTGTACATGGAGCTGGGCAAGGAGACTGGGCCTGAGACAGCAGGACTATGGAGGCCACTGCCAGTAAAAAATTTTTCTGAAGAAAAAGAAAATCCAGATTCCATTTGTTTAGTTATCTATACAAGTCAACATTCTAATAACATTACTCATTTAAAGAACATTAAACCTGGTCTGCATAGCAAGTTCCAGACCAGTTAAAACTATACAGTGAGACACTGTCTCAAACAAGTGAACAAATATTAAGTTCTACTTGACAACTGTACAGAGTTCCCCAAGTAGCAGGTTATTAGTAACCTTTCCATTTGTTCTAGAATTTCAGTTGTGTTGGTGACTCAACTTTGATAATAGTAAGCAAAATGGTCAAAGATTCTTTGCCAGGGACTTGACTTGTGGATCATACTCAATATTTACAGGAGGACTTGGTGTGTAACCAAAGAGAGACTCACAGAACTATAGGCTCTGAAAACTCCCAGCAGCCTCCTCCTCCATCAGCAGAGGACAGACAGAATTCTATCCACAACTGAGACAGTATACGCATGGGGAGGGCATGCTCTAGGAGAGCACTAGTACTGATCACATCTCACGGAGTAAATAGCTGCAGGGAACTAGGAGGGTCCTCTATGGTTATCTCCAAGCCTATCTATATAGCTGCACCTAACAAAATGACTAGAAATTAACACCAAGAATTTATATAAAACCCCAGGTAAAAAAGTGGTCTTCTAATTGCCTTTGAAACCTCAGAGCACAGCACAGGACAGAGCAAAGAATAAGAACTTAGGTACTTATTAAAATGAATTTAGCATCACCAGCCTCACTCCAAAAATGTATATTAATACTAAGAATTACAAAGTTAGAGATTTTATACAATATATAATTTGTGCTTTTTGGTTCTTTTGTTTTCATGAAAGATGATAGTGTTGAACTCATCCTGCCATTTGAAAGAGTTCTCTGAGTCACAGAATAGTATTTCTAATGCATGGCCTCTCCTGGTGAAGATCTATGGTGCCCCATTAGGCAAGGTAACACCAGGAATACTTTGCTGGGCTGTGGCAGGTTCCATGGGTAGGCTGTTGCCTGCTTGGAACAGTGCAAGAACAGAGAAGCACTGCAACACCACAATAACAATCTGTCTTACACTGCTAGTGGCAAATCTACTCACCTGATTAAAGTAACAGTGTAATAGGCAGGCATTCAGATAAGAAGCTGACTGGACCAGTTTGAAAAATCTCACAAAATTATTACTGTTCAATGCAGCAAAAGCCTGGACAGCGAAGTCCACCTCAGGGGAGTTTCTAACATCAGGGTGGAACTGTTGCACTTCTCTGCCAGTTAAGGAGGAGAAATGGTTAGAATGTAGTTTTTTTTGTTTGTTTGTTTAAATCAGAACAATGTTTGTTTCTGAAGATATTTTTTAATTGAATTTTTGTGTATTTCATACATAAAATTATCTTTATACCCCCCTTCCCCTTTGGCATCCTCCCATAGCCCCCCACACACACTGGAGTTCATACATTCTGCCATTTGTGCTAAGGCCTATCATGTAAAGTTAGTGTCCCCAGATGCCCCTCAGTGCAAGTTCATCCACTGGGATTTAGTCAGCCTATCTAGAGTCCCTCCCTTTAAGAAGATCAGCTCTTCCTCACCCAGCTGCCAATAATTCTTTGACTAAGATTGGGGCCTGCTGTTCATTTCCACAGTTCTGTGTGGGTTTTTGTCTGTTTAAGTCTACATGGGTTTTGTGCATGCTGACAATATTGCTGTTGGTTTCCAGGTGCGTGTAGGACTATTTCTCATACAGTCCTGCATCTCCTCCCCGCCCACCTTCCGAAATGGTCCCTGAGCCCTGGGTGGGTGGATTTTAATATAGGTCCTGTCCAAGGACCCACACTCTGCAGAATCTTTCTCTGCACATTGGCCATTTGTGACCTTTTGCATAGAATGTTGATTTTTAATAGATCTAATGAATACTTTGATTTCTGCAATACTAAGAGAGTATGGTTCTATAGCTAAAGCTGTCATTGCCTCACTGGATTAATAGACAAAGGTTTTCTTTTAATTTTGAGGGGTTTTTGAGATATAGTCTTATATATTCCAGACTGGCTTCAAACACACTATGAAGTCAAATAACCCTCAACTTCTGATACTTCTGCTTCTATATCCCCAGTGCCACTACACCTAGTTTTCAAAGGTTTTCTTTAAAAAGATTAAGTAGTTAAGTTAAATGGTCAGTATTAAGTTAAGACCATTTGCTGTTCTTGGAGAGGACCTAGGATCACTTCCCAACACCCATGTCAGGCAATTCACAACTGTTATTAACTCCAGCCCCAATGATCTAACACCCTCTTCTGATCTCTGCATGCACCTGCACTCGTGTGTACGTACCTATGCACAAATACACACAAACACATTTTTTTTTTTTTGGTCTTTTTGAGACAGGGTCTCCCTGTAGCTGGTCCTGGAACTCACTATGTAGACCAGGATGGCCTTGAACTCACAGAGATACGCCTGCCTCTGCCTCCCCAGTGCCTGGGATTAAAGGTGTGCACCACCACGCCCAGCAAAGATTTTTTCTTTTTTTTCTTCTTTTCTTTTTGTTTTTTTGAGACAGGGTCTCCTTGTAGCCCCAGCTGTCCTGGAACTCGCTATGTAGACCAGGTGGCCTCGAACTCACAGAGATCCGCCTGCCTCTACATTTGATTTTTTTTAATCTTAAAAGGTAGATAGGGGCTGGAGAGATGACTCAGCAGTTAAGAGCACTGGCTGCTCTTACAGAGGATGCAGGTTTGATTCCCAGCACCCACATGGCAGCTAACAACCATTTGTAACTCCAGCTCCAGGGAATCTGATGCCCTCTTCTGACCTCCAAGGGCTTTGCATGACACAGGTGTACTTACACACATGCAGGTAATACACTCAAACACATAAAATTTTAAAAAAATTTTTTAAAAAGTTGTTAAACAAGTTCAAGAAACATCAAGTGGGATTCAATCATTAAAGGAATTTTAAAGTAATGCCAACTGCCAATCAACCGTGTTTAGCAACAAAGTCTAAGACATGGGAAATTTAACATGTGTGTGGTGTATGCACATATGTACTGGTGCATGCCAGCCCACACATGCACATGCATAGACTAAAGGATATCAGGTTTCTTCTATTGCTCTCCACCTTAGTTTTTGAGACAGGGTCTCCCATTGAACCTGAAGCTCATTGTGTTTGAGCTAGGCTGGCTGGCCAGCAAGCCCCCAATAACCACCTGTCCCTGTCCCGACGCTGGGATTACAGGTACATGCAACCAATACCTGACTTTTATGTGGGTGCTGGGGATCTGAACTCAGGTTTTACCTTTACAGCAAGCACTCTTACCTACTAAGCCATCTCCCCAGCCCCAACTTTTTTTTGGTGTTACTTAAAACAATTTCTGAGAATGTCATACAGGAGTGCGACATTTACATTTCCACCCTTTTTCTTTTTTAAAATAGAAATGAATCAGGGCTGGCAAGATGGCTCAGCAGCTAAAGATACTTGCTCGCCAAGCCTGACAACCAAGTTCAATCCCCAAAACCAATATTTTGGAAGGAGAGAAGCAACTCCCACAAGTCCACAGAGGTTGTTTTCTGACCTCTCAGAGAACCAACTCCTGTAAGGTGTGCTTTGATCTCTACACATGCACCATGGCACCTATGCACGCACGCACGCAAACACACACACACACACACACAGATGTAATTAAAAAGGGTTGGAGAGCTGGCTCCATGGTTAAGAATCCTTGTGCTGAGGATCTGAATTCAGTGTTCAGCTCTAGCATCTGGTGATTCACAGAGGATTTGACACCTTCCTCTGGCCTCTGTAGGCACCTGTATACACCTGCACATAACAGGCACACCCATGCCCACACCTGAGCTCAGTGTGCATACACACACAAGTAATAAAAACAAAACTTTAAAAAATAAAGGGCTAAGAGAGATGGCTCAGTGCTTAAAAGCAACTGGCTTCTCTTGCAGAGGACCTGGGTTCAGTTCCCAGCACCCACATGGCAGCTAACAACCATCTGTGATTCCAGTTCCAGGAAAACCATTGCCTTCTTCTGGCCTCCATAGGCATTGTACACATATATCAGGCAAAACACTCATATGCATAAAAATATATGGATGAAATTTTTTAAAAAGAGGTAACTCAATAACTTATCCAAGATGTGTACAAATGACTGCCATATTTAAAGACATTACCAGCCATTTAAAAAAATAATTTATGGGCTGGAGAGATGGCTCAGCAGTTAAGAACACTGGCTGTTCTTGCAGAAAACCCAAGTTCCAATCCCAGCACCCACATGGCAGCTAACAACTATCCATAACTCCAATTCCAGGGGATCCGACAGCCTCTCCTGTCCTCTATGGGCATTGCACGACACAGGTGCACTTACTTACATGCAGGCAATACACACACAAAAAAAATAAAAACAATAATTTAAAATTTTTTTTTAATAATTTATTGTTTTTGTTTTATGTGTATGAGCGTATTGCCTACATGTAGGTAGGTACACCCGTGTCATTCAATGCCCATGGAGGTCGGAAGAGGGTTGTCAGATCCCCCTGGAACTGGAGTTACAGACAACTGTTAGTTGCCATGTGGGTGCTGGGAATCAAACCTGGGTCCTCTGCAAGAGCAGCCAGTGTTCTTAATTGCTAAGCCATCTCTCCAGCCCCTAGCCATTTTTTATAATGAGTTTAGATGCCATTGAAATTTAAATCAAGCATGTATCTAGATATTCTCCAACATTAGGTTCTTGGAGAAAAATACCAAGCTAAAAAGAATTTCAGCCAGGCATGGGAATATATTCTATATGATCTGAGCACTCAGAAGGCAGAGGCAAGAGGATCTCAAATTGAGGCCAATTTAGGTCATATAGTAAGATCTTGTCAAAGAAAGAAAGAGACACAGAAAAAGAGAGAAGGGAGACTATTTCAATGTAAATAAAGAAATCTTGCAACTAACTAAAAGGGACAATGGATACCAGTCAGTTTAGCTTACCAACAATATATAAACATGGCCAAGATTTAAAGTTCATTCATACTGAAGCCTTATCTACCCTTTTTTGGGAGGTCTTTTAGAGACAGGGTCTCCCTATTGCCCTAGCTGGTGTGGAACTATGTAGACCAGGCTGGCCTTGAACTCACAGAGATCTACCTGCCTCTTCCTCCCAAGCGCTGGGATTAAAGGCATGCACCACCACACCCAGCAGTTTACTTTTTTTTTTGGTCTTTTTGAGACAGGGTCTCCCTATAGACCAAGCTGTCCTGGAACTCACTATGTAGACCAGGCTGGCCTCAAACTCAGAGATCCACCTGCCTTTGTTTCCCAAGTGCAGGTACTAAAGGCATGGGCCACCATACCCATCAACCTTACCAAAAAAGTTTTGTAAGTTTTCCTTATCTCTGATAGAACCACCTGGAAACTGACCTAACAACTCCAATGGGGTCTCCTAGCTTCCCTGTCCTAGTTTACTACCTGTCTCATTGGGAGGCTCTCTCCTTCATCTTACCTCACTGAAATCATTCTCAAGAATGAACATGAGGGGATTATGCCAGACATGCTGGTCCCAGTGCATGCCCCCACTGATTTACTCCTGGCTTAGCTTGACAACTCCTACCACCCAGACCATGATCTTTTAATCTTAAAAGCTGGACTTTCTAGACATCACAGTCCCACTTCTGAATCTGAAAACTTACCTCAAAATGTCTCCTTTGTTGAGACTGAGCAGAACATTGTAGCCCTGGAACTCTGCTTCATTAGCACAGAAAACACCCTTATTCCTCAGGTCCTGGTACATTTCCTTCAGACTCTGTAGACATTTGGTCATGTTCTCATTGTTGATCTTGGCATCAAAGGAAGACATGGGCTCCTCACACATGAAGTGGGCACAATGGATGTGAAATCTGGTGCACTTCTCAATCAGGGATACCGTCAGGGGGTCACACAGGTGCTGCTGTGTGATGTCCTGGCCACAGGTGAGGGGGAAGATTACACATACACACATGCACTGATCACACACACACAAGCTAAACACTCATGTCCCATGCAGAGTCAACCATCAGAAAAACTATGCTTATCATTGAATTACATTTCAATCTGAAACCAACCCCATGAAATACAATCTAACAGTTTTGTAACTGCTTAAATAAAAGTATATGAGTAAAATGAAAAGAACTACCCATTTACTCTGGAAATACACATGCACTTCCTAGTCATTTGACTGAAGGCAGCTGATACCTTCCGGATGCCTCTTGTGCGGTTCCACACGAAGTCATACCAATCCCTCAAGCTGCCTTCCTTTTGGTCCATGATCTGGGTCACCAGGTAGTCCATGGTCCTGCTGAGGACTGCTGAAGGCCTGAGCTCATGTGGCAGGGGTTCTTCCTGATCAGCAGAAGACCGGCTATACTCCTTCACGGCTGCTGCATGATCCACCTGGGGACATGGAGCATGGACAAACTGCTTGTATAGCAGTTTCAGGACCTTAAAATGCAGGGGGAAATCACATATATACCCACACAAGATCAATGTTTAAGAATATAGGTTTTGGTTTTTTTTTTTTTTTTGTCTTTTTGAGACAGGGTCTCTCTGTAGCCCCAGCTGGCCTGGAACTCGCTTTGTAGACCAGACTGGCTTTGAACTCACAGACATCCGCCTGCCTCTGCCTCCCAAGTGCTGGGATTAAAGGCATGCGCCACCATGCCCAGCAAGAATATAGTTTTTAAATGAAATACTTTTGTTAACAGTGACAAATTTTAAGGACAATGTAAATTAAGAAACTTGACTTTGGTAAATGTAACAAGGCATCAAGAGAGTGTCACGAGCAGAAATGTAAGTGAAGACACATCTGTCCACCTCAAGGCACAAAGATGTGACAGTTGAAGGGCTTCAAGCACCTTAAAACATCTCAGCTGTGTTCAAATGTCAAGTCTATAGACCAGGAAAGAAATTGAGGGGGTAGTCAGGACCAGAAGGGGCATAAGAGTGGTGCTCTGTAGGCCAAGACCTGGTGGAGCAGGGGCCAGATCCCCACAAAAGGGCTGTAGCTCCACCTTCCACTTGCAGAAGGAAGCTGCAGGTACATGGACATGGGAAAAAGCAGAGATGTCTATAGGTCTGGGCCCTGGGTCCCCGAGTCAGGAGCTCTGGGTCTCTATGGTGATTCCTGCTGGTGGGCGGAGGACCCTGGATCAGGCAAAACCCCCAGTGAGGAAAAGACACCCTTAAGCAAAACTGAAAAGCAAAGTATGCAGATTTGGGGGAAAATCACTTGGAACATGCAATAACTAAAATTCAGGAAAGGTCATGTCCTCTGGTGAAGTTAATTTAAAGATTAGAATCTAGAAAACAAAAACAACCCTCCCGCCGAAACAAAATAATTAAAAATAATAATAATAGAGGTAAGAGATGGCTCAGCACAGGCTAAGGGCACTTGTCACCAAGTCTAATGACCTAAATTCAATACTAAGAACCCACATGGTGGAAGGAGAGAAATGGCTGCTGTTAAGTTGTCCTCTGACCTCTTTGCAGGACATGGGTGCACTTGCACACATGCAGGCAATACAACATAACACATAATAAATAAATAAATAAATAAATAAATAAATAAATAAATAAATAAATAAATAAATGTAAAACAAAATCAAACTTAAAAAAACAGCACAGCTTAGTGGCACTCATAGAGTTCTACCTGGTCAGTCCCGGGGACCACTTCAAACACACTCAGCTGACTCCGGGTCTCCCGCATATATCGCTCCTTCTCAGGACACATATCAGGGCATGTCCCAACAAATGCCCTCGCCTTGTCCAGATCAGTCCTCTTCACCCTAGCTAAATGACATTAAGTCAAAAGGTAAGAGTATATAAGTGAGTACCAAGAACTCACAAAAGTATAGTTTCATAGAAGGAAACATATATACACATATATAAAGGCACACACACATACACAAGACATGGTGGTGCATACCTGTAATACTAGCACTTAGGAGGCTGAGGAAGTAGGATCCCGAATTTGAGGCCAGCCTGGACTACATAGTGAGTTCCAGGCCAGCCTGGGTTACATGGTAAAAGCACATAAATTAAATTACATAAATACAAAAAAAAAAAAATTACAAAGAAATAGTTCTCAAACTTTGGGTCTCAGAGAAAATAACTTGTAGCCTATTCCACCAGGCAATAGGCACCTAGGCTCACAAAACCCCCTGGCCAAGGCTGCTCCTCTTCAATAGTCAATGACATTCACCTTCACAGATACATGCTCTGTAGTCTTTAATGAATCAAGACCTCAGTGGTAAAACAATTATGATGCAGAATATTTACTCAAAGGATAAATTTGTCAAATGCAAATATTTTAAATCTACCAGTATTCTAGAATTCTGTCTCAGTATTTGGAGTTACATAATGGGTGGGGGGGCAGTTGGCCGGGTGCCAACCTGAATAAGTATACCACTATTTTTACCCACAGAATTAAAGTTACAAGTATATTTTTAATTTTAATTTATTTTTATGTGTATGAGTGTTATGCCTGTATGTGTGTAAATACACCCATGTCATGCAGTGCCCATGGAATAAAGAAAAAGGTAGATCCCCTAGAACTGGAGTTACAGACAATTGTTAGCCACCATGTGGATGCTGAGATTTGAACCCAGGTCTTCTGCAAGAGCAGCCAGTGTTCTTAACCACTGAGCCATCTCTCCAGCCCACAAATACACCTTTTAAATGAAATGAAATCAAACAACTTCGTAACACATAAACACATTTTACTTTTATTCTGAAAAACTGTAATACTTAGCATAGAGACAGGGTCTCATTATGTAGCTCAGGCTGGCCTGGAAGTGACTATGTGGAACAGGTGTCCTGCCTCTGCCTCCAAAGTGCTGGAATTGCCTGTGTGTGTCACATGCCAATGATATATGGTGGCAGCTTTCAATACCATGCCAAGGAAGCTCTGTTGAGTATTACAAGTGTTCATAGCTTTTAAAGAAGGAAAACTGCCAGGTGTGTTAGACACAAGTAATCCCAGCATTCAGGAGGCTGAGAAAGGAGGGTTGCAAGCTCAAGGCTAGCTTGGGCTACAATGCGGTATCTGTATCATGCCTTTAATCCTAGCACTTGGGAGGCAGAGGCAGGTGGATCTCTGTGAGTTCAAGGTCAGCCTGGTCTCCATAGTGAATCCAGGTCAGCTGTGACTACAGAGAGACCCTGTCTCAAAAAAAACAAAAAAAAAAAAATTTTTTTTCATACAGCTGAAATTTAAGAATCGCAGAGAACATGGTTTTTCATTTTGGGTACTGCATATCTGTAACATTAATGAAACACTTTTTGAAGGTAATACATTTACACAGTTTAATATTCCAAAGGGAAAAGGAGCATCGCCCTCTCACTTCTGCCTTTCAGACACCTGTTCCCACTCTAATAATCAGTGTGAACAATTCTGCATCCTCCCGCCAAGACTTCATGCTTACATAAGCAAACGTATTTATCACACGTAAGCATATACACAGCTTATACCTCCAGACACACTGGTACCCAGTTACACAACATGGCACATCACAAGTCCCAAAACTCAACAGTACTGAGTCTCTGTGGCTCCCCAGAAACTAGCTCACACAACTCTGGAACCTGTCTCCATGCACCTTACCTTGTCGCATGATTCGGTCTCTCTGGTCGAGCAGTCGGTACTTCTCTTCAGATGTCTCAGCCACAGTCCCTATCAGGGTGCTTATAGATGACACACAGGACCCAAGGCCCTCAGAGCCCTCAGAACCCTCATCAAAAGGGTCTCCCTCAAACTGGTGGATCTTTAGAAGACTTGGCTTCTTCACTGGAGAGCTACAGAGAAAACAACACATTAAGGGCCCTTGTATCATTTTCAATTTTTTAATATTTCAAGATTTTTTGGTCCTCTAAAGCTAAGAAAGTACAGCACTGACATGAAAGAAGCCTTAATAAAGTTGGTGGTAAGAAAAGATTTTTTTTTTTTATTTGATGAAGCCGGGCATGGTGGCACACGCCTTTAGTCCCAGCACTCGGTAGGCAGAGGCAGGCGGATCTCTGAGTTTGAGGCCAGCCTGGTCTCCATGGTGAATCCAGGCCAGCTGCAGCTATAGGGAGACCCTGTCTCAAAAATACCCAGCCAACTGAAAACTCTGACCCAGGATGTCTTCAGCTAATAATATGAGGCTAGGCTGGGTAACATAGGAAGACCCCATGGAAGGGGAGGCAGTATTGATAAGAACAAAAGTGTTAGGTTTCCTGGGTTTTTAATAATTCTGAAATATTTCTTACTTTGAAAAAGGAACATGAGGGGCTGGAGATGCAACTCAGTTCCTAGAGTGCTTGCCTAACATGCATAAAGCCCTGGTTCAAGCCTTAGCACCTCATATATCAGGTGTGATGGTACATGCTGTAATCCCAGCAGGAGATGGAAGACAGGAAGCAGGAGATAAGGAGTTCAAGGTCATCTTCAGCTATAATAGTGAATTCAGGCCAGTCTAAATAAAAAAAAAAAAAAAAAAAAAAAGCCAGCAGACAGTTCAGCCTGATAAATTAAGTTTGATCTCCAGGAGCCACATGGTGGAAGGCCATTAAGAGCCTTTTTGCTTCTCTTGCAAAAGACCTGAGTTCAGTTCCCAGCACCAACATGCCAACATACAACCACTCCAGTTCCAGGAGATCCAATGCACTCTTCTGGCCTCCAAAAGCACTGCAGGCAAAATATTCACATGCAAAATAAAAAATACTTAAAATAATTTAACAGAAAAAAAGATGAACTCATTTAAACATCTAACATATTTGTAGACTTCTATCTCTAAGAAATTAAATTCATTCTGAAAAATACTGTAATACCAAAAGGAATTATTTTGCCTGCATGTATAATGCCCGCTTCACTTCAGTAGGAGATACTGAGGAGATGCAGGTTTTTAGTTTCCCATTTTTATTTTCTAACTGATTTCCAACATTCTCTGCAATTAAATGTCAGAAAGGACCATTTGGAAAGATGGAGAAACCAGGTGTGGGGGTGCATACCTTCAATTCCAGCACTCAGGAGACAGAGGCAGGAAGATCTTTGTGAGGTGGAGGCCAGCCTGGTCTACATAGCAAGTATCAGGCAAGCTGGGGCTACAGTGAAACCCTGTCTCAAAAAGATTCCCCCCCCCCCCAAAAAAAAAGAGCAAGCTAGCAACTAAGCTGTGGATTCCAAAACAACAAAGCAAGGAAAACAACACCTTGGCAAAAGGATGTGAAGGATTAAAATGAAGACCTGTCAAAGTGGGCCCAGTGTGGAAAACAGGATGGAAATCATGTGTTTCAGACCATCACCCAGGAGATGGGCCTCTGGGATAGTTCCCTAGACAAACAAAAAGGTCATGTGGACTGAGAAACCAAGCTTATACCATGTCCCAGTACACCACTTCCCAGAGACACTTTCTAAAGCAATGGCTTTAGTGAGATAGCTGGATCTACCTGAAGTCATACAGAAACTACTAGGAATGTGCAGTTTTTATAGCCAGTTAGATGTTTTGTTTCATTCTGTTGGTTTTTGAAAGAGTCTCAGGTAGCCCAGGCAGGCCATCCACTTCTGATCCTCCTGTATGTACCACTACAACTAGCTTCAGCTTGACATTTTAAGGAGTAGTTATCACATGTGCATTTACATGCCAAGGCTTTGGGACTGAGTGAGGTAGATCAGCAGGGACATGTATTTGGAAGATGGCGACCCACACAAGGCACTATACTCTATGCTTCCTATGGAGCATGCAGCCTTGTGCTGACAGAATCTTGTGCAAAGTGCCAGCCTCTTCCATCAGAATCCAGCCTTGGGATCTCTGAAGCTACAGCTAAAAGTACTAAGGCAGAAACAGCAGCTTTGTAAGAAAATGCACAGATGGAGACAAGTCCTGAACTAAATGAGGATTTCTCAGAAACCTACGTCTTGGGGAATGTGAGAATAAAAACAGTCATCCCTTCAGCTGGCAAGGTCAAGATGAGCTATCTCAGAACATTCCTACTGCTCTTGCTCACTGTGGGGAGGAGGGATTCAAAAGCAGCATTTCCTTGCCTCTACCCGATGGCTCTGCCCCTACTTCTCACTTCTCTTCTGGAACAAGGTCATTAAGAAGGCAAATCACACCTTTTGTTCAGGAGGCTGCCAGCTGCAGGCCTCACTATGGGCTTGCCAAGAGGGGAATGTTGAAAAGGAGCATCCTCGGAGCCTTGGCTGGCTTCACTATCACCGGGCTTCTTCTCCTTCAGGGAAAAGGGTTTCTTATTGGGACCTGGGGAAACAAGAGAAGAGAATTTACACTATCACAGGATTATAAAAGAACCCAAAGAAACAACTGTGAGACACAAGGATCCAGTTGGAGCTCACATCTCCACTGGCCTTGAGGAAAAGGACTCACACTCACAGGTCAAAGGACCGTGAATAAAGAATTAGACTATGGAAAGAAAAAATAATTAAAAACTCACTTATTTTCTTCTTGTGCCAAAAGATAGTCATGTCCTTATGCAAACCTTTCCCCTTCTTCCTAGCCAGGGCTGCAGATGCCTGAAAAACAGTCCACAACCACCAAACATGAGGGCACATGGAGACCAAAGAACATGAGGGTGAGCACTGAAGTGCTATAAGCATAACAGACTACTAAAAACAGAAAGAGTTCTGGTGAGATGGCTCAGTGGGTGAAGGCACTTTCTGCCTAGTCTGAAGACCTGAGTTCAATCTCCTAAACCCACATGGTAGAGAGACTCAACTTCTAAAGTTAGGTAGGCTCTGACCTCTACATACATGTACCATGGCACACACGTGTCCTTATCCCTCCCAAAATAAATAAATATTTAAAAAATAAGAAGGGGCTGGAAAAAAAGTACAGTGGTTAAGAGAACTTCTGTTCTTCCAGGAGGTTAAGTTTAGTTCCCAGCACCCACTTCAGGTAGTTCACAACCACCTTTAACTCCAGCTCCAGAGGATCCAATACCTTTTTCTGGTCTTCTTTGGCACTTGCACATACATGGCATACACTCACACAGACACATGTACACACACAAAAATAAAATTGTTAAGAAAAATATGCCAGACACAGTGGCACACAATTTTAATCCCAGTACTTGGAAGGCAGAAGCAGGTGGATCTGTGAGTTCAAGGCCAACCTGGCCTATATAGCAAGTTCCAGGCCAGCCAGCACTACCTAGTAAGACCCTGTCTCAAAAACAAAATTTAAAAATTAAAATAAAAACAAATAAAAGGAACCACTGCCCTCTACGCAACAGTGACACTGTCTCCAGCCCCATGCTCTGCCTACACCTGTGGAGTCACAGTCCTCATCTCTTACCTGTCTCATAAGCATGCACTTGCTCCTTTCCTTTAAATCAACAACTTTGTTTGTGACAGAACCCAGGAACTTGGCCCTTAGCATTTTGTGAGATGAATTCCACCAGCTGATTACATACACAGAAAACAGAAAGATGGCCAAATCATAAACACCAAAGGCAGCTGTAAAATGATACACATAAGATACCAATTCTTGAAGACTCACATAAAATCAACCCTGTGTATATATACTTATAAAAATACACAGAAAAATATGCACTGTGGTAGGTAATTCTAGCACTTGGGAGGTGGAGGTAGAACGATCAAGAGTTTAGACTTCAAGGTCATCTTTGGCAATATAACCAGTTTGAAGTCAGCCTGGACTACATAAGACTCTACCTCAAAAACATACAAAAATATAAAATACAATTTTTAAAAGTGAGAATCATGTGATATAGCAACTCCATGCCCTAGAATACCAACCCCCCCTAAATTTACAGCAGGCAAAACACTCATACACATAAATTTAAAAAAAAAAATTTTTTTTTTGGTCTTTTGAGACAGGGTCTCCCTATAGCCCCAGCTGTCCTAGAACTCACTATGTAGACCAGGCTGGCCTTGAACTCACAGAGATCCACCTATCCCTGCCTCCCCAGTGCTGGGATTAAAGGCGTGTGCCACCATGCCCGGCAAAAATTATTTTTTAATAAAAAAAAAAAATCTTTAAATAGAAAATGTGGTCCATATGCCATTGAAAGGAATGAAGTTCTGATACATGCTACAATGTAGATAACCATGCTATGTGAAATAATCATAAAAGGAAAACCTTGCCAGGCACAGTGACACATGCCTGTAGTCCCAGCACTTGGGAGGCAGAGGCAGGCGGATCTCTGAGTTCAAAGCCAGCCTGGTCTACATAGTGAGTTTTAGGCCAGCTCTGTTTCAAAAAGAGACACCCCCCCCCCAAAAAAAAAGAGAAAGCCTCTATGATTCCACATACATGAAATATCTAGACTAGGTAAATTCATGGTGATAGAAAAATCAGGGGATGGGGCTGGAGAGATGGCTCAGTGATTAAGAGCACTTGGCTGTTCTTGCAGAAGACCCAGGATTGAATCCCAATGCCCACATGGAGGCCTAACAGCCATCTGTTACTCCAGTTCCAGAGGATCCAATGCCCTCTTCTGTCCTCTGTGGTCACTGCACAACACAGGTGTACTTACATACATGCAGGCAATACACTCATACACAAAATAAAAGTAAATAATAAAAAGAAGAAAAATTAGGGGCTGGAGAGATGGTGCAGCAGTTAAGAGCACTGGCTGCTCTTACAGAGGAGCCAGGTTCGAGTCCCAGCACCCACATGGTGGCTCTGAACCATCCTTAATTCCAGTTCCAGGGGATCCGAGGCCTCCTTCTGACTTCCCCAGGCATTGCACGACATGGGCGCACTTACACACAAGCAGGCAAGAAGCTTAATTAGGAGGATCACGAGTTCAAGGCCTATACAATATATCAAGTTCTTAAAACCAACCTTAACTACTCATCAAGACCCTTTCTCAAAAGGAAGGGGTGGGGAGGAAAAGGAAAGGGTGAGAGGAAGGTAAGAGGTGGGAGGAAAGGGGAGAAGGGAGAGGGAGAGACACATCTACAGCAAGACCCAGGTTTCAAAAAAAAAAGAGATATGCATAAAAATACCCCAAAACCGAGATGAGATAACTAAGCAAATAAACATGGCATTTAACAACCCCACTCTGGTTCAGACTTTCTATTTATTTCAGAAAACACCAACAATTAGCTGGGTGCAAGAGAACATGCCTGTAGTCCTGAACTACTGGACAAGCTGAGGCAAAAGCATTGCTTGAGTTCAGAAATTCAAAGTGAAATCTGGGAAATACAGCAAGACTATCTCTGAAAGTGGTGGCACATGCCTACCATCACAGTACTTGGGATATGGAAGCAGAAGGGTAGAGTGAGCTAAATAATGAGACCCTCTCAGAAAAAAAAAAAAAAAAAAAAAAAAAAAAAAAAAAGCCAGAAAAAGTACGTACTGAGACCAGCGAGACAGCTCAGTGGGTAAAGGTACTTGCCACACAAGCCCAAGTTTAATCCCCAGAACCCACATAAAGGTGGAAGGAGAAAACTGACTCCACAGCTATCCTGTGATCACCAAGCATGTGCCCCTAACCCCACATCATACACATGCAGTAATATAAAGTGATAAAAACAGGGGGCTGGAGAGATGACTCAGTGGTTAAGAGCACTGGGTGGACACTTACATAGATGTAGGCAATACACACACACACACACACACACACACACACAATTTTTTTTTTTAAAAAGGGACAAAGTTCAAGACTCAGAACACAGCTCAATGGTGAAGTGCTTACCTGGCATGCTCAAGGCCCTAGGTTTGATTCCCAGCAGTAGGGGGGAAAAGTCATAAATTTCAAATCTAGGGTAACAAGAGGCAAGTTGGGAATACTCACGTGATCAAAAAAATGCACCACTGCAAGCTTTTTGTTGCGCCTGGTGAAGATCCGCTGTACTTTAGCAATTTTGCTAAAGTGTTTCTCCAAGATGGTTCTGTCATTGAGATAGTCAGGGATGTTCTTGCATTGGATTGCGGTCAATTCCAAAGGAGACCAGCCCCCAAGACTGTCTGTGCTTTCGCTTCGTTTACTTTGTCGCACAGGTCTTCCCCTTAGAGAATCTAGGAGTTCATAAAACAGACACACAAAACCAAAGGGGTCACCACTGTGTAAAAGCGAAGTAAATTTTCACGGCTGCGAGGCTTGCTCCAAGGCTCTATATTGGGATCTTAGTATTTTTTTTGGGGGGGGGGCTTAAAAATTTTAGGTACCAGGAAATATTCAAGAGTCTTGCAACAAGGCCATGTGTTGTTCACTTCTAGAACTCACCTTCTTTTTTATCTCTACCTTCTGTTTCTTCCTCTTTATTCACACCTGGAAGCCGGGAAGGTACCAGGGCAGACTGACTCCCTCCTAGGATGGCCATATGGTCACTTTCTCCAGACTCTACAAAGCCACTTTCCTTTTTGGAGTCCTTGCTACCCAGGCGGCCTACTTCTTTATTGCTTTTGAAGACATCCTGTATTGTCCGGCCGAACAAAGTACCTCCCCGGGGTCTATTCAGGCGGACTGGTCGTTTATCTGGAGGATGGTCGCTCCTGGACAGAGGGTCCGAGTCTTCTGCTGCTTCGTGGCCATGTCTCCTTGGAGAATGATCCTGGTCCTCTTTCCTTTTCAATCCTTTCATCAGGCTGGGAAGTGGCTCCACCTGGGAACTGACTTCTTCACAGCCTTGGAGAATACCTGTTTTGCCACCTGAGAAGGGCTCCCCCAAAGATCCAGATGATATGGGGAAAGTACTGAAGCTACTATTTGAACTTCCAAATACTGATTTAGTTCCTCTCTTCTCTTCCTCTACATTCTGGTTAGACAAAGCAGGAGTAAAAGCCGATGCTGAATTACTACTACTAACTGGTTTGGAAAAGATAAAATTTGAACTGGAAGCTGAACTACTTGTCACCTGAGGAAAAAAAGGGTTCAGACCTCCAGGTCCACTACTAACTGGATGCGAAAATGTGAAAAATCCGGAAGCAACTTGGCTCTGAGTTTTCTCTGGCTCGGACTCAGGCCCCAGTATTGGTCTGAACACTGCATTTTCCAGAGGTTTAAACTTGAACTCTGTCTTCCTAAAACCACAATGCGATACTTCTCCAGTTTCCGATCCAAAAGTAGAGCCACTTGGGAAAACCCCAACGCTAGTGGGTGATTTAAAACTAAATCCTGGGTTTCCAGGCACAGATGAACCTGAAGACCCAGAGGTAGCTACAAAAGGAGATGTGTGATCAAGACCAGAAAAAAGCCCAGCACTTGAAGTTTGGCTGAGTCCAAATGTTGGCACTGAGGAAGGATGACTTACTCCAGAGGGTGCTGCAAAGCTGGGTACCTGTGAAAATCCTGAGCTCTTCCCTGCTGTGCTGCTTTGCCCAAAAAGAGAAGGTTGGCCAAATCGAAAAGGTGACTTGGTCTGGAATGTTCCTGTGGTACTGGAAGACGCTGCAAAAGCACTGGGCTGCTGCGCACTGAAGGGGTTCAAGGGGTTCATTCTTGATCCAGTTATTTGAAGCAATAAATACAATGTGTACAAGACTAGCGCTCTTCTTTAACAGTCTGTTGCACCAAGGAGCTCCCCTTCATTGTCAGGATAAGCTGAAAGACAAAATTTCGTAACACTAGAGGACATTCGGCTGGAAGTCTTTTTTTAAAAAAAATCTTTTTGATGCAGGGTCTCCCTGTAGTACGGGCTGGCTAGGAACTCGCTATGTAGAGCAGGCTGGTCTTGAACTCACAATCCGCCTGCCTCTGCCTCCCGAGAGCAGGGATTAAAGGCGTGCACCACCACACCCAGCTGGGCTGGAGGGCTTAAATCACATACTCTACCTACAGTTGTTTAAAGGGAAACCATGCAAAGGGTCTAGCGCCCACATTTTCAGAAAGTCAAGAGGTTAGTCCTGTACTGGATACAGGAGTAGACTATTACACACAAATGTGATATAGATTTAAAGATTTTTTTTGAAGCACAGTCTCACTCAGCCCATACCGGCCTATATTGTCAAGCACGCGTCAGCCCCTCCAGGGCTGATTTACAGACGTCCCCACCATGCTTGGCTAATGCCTGAACCTTTAAGAATAAAACAAAAATGCAAACCATTTAACTAAATTGATAAATTCTTGAAAAATCTCGGTTTTCACCGGATTCTCGCAAGCTCCAATTAACACTTAAAATGTAACTGTTTCGGTTTCTACACCCTTTTCTTCCAGTAACTCGAACTCGAAATACCTTTCTCAAGCCTAGAAATGATTTTGCCCACGCTGGCGACGACCCTGCAACTCTGAGGGCCCACCGCGACCGGAGGAAGGCCGAGGGGTCGAGGCCAGGCCTTCAGCAGCTCGGGGAACACCCCGCGGTCCGCATGACCACCGAGACGCCCGCGCACTTCGCGCTCCTCCGCCGCCCGGAACCGCCACACCAGCACTCAGTACCAGGCGATGCAAACACCGGCCTCTGGGGCCCGCCCTTCGCTGAGCGCCGCGCACACGAAACTCGTCACACTTCCGGTCAGAGCATCGGGCTTCCGCTTTGTGTGGCGCGCAGTGGCGAAACTTCCGGCGGCTGGACCGCCCACTCCCAGACATCGCCGCCCGGGCTTCGGTAGGTGTGCGGCTGTTCCTCTGTGCGGGGTAGATGGTACTGGTCCCCCGACCCCACCCTTCGGCCCC